TTCAAAAACGTATAAATAGGAAAAAATTAACTAGATTTTCGGAATCACCGAGCAATGCTACATAGGAATGGGATACTGGCGTCTGGAGAACAAAAACAAAACCTAAATTTGTGATCCAATGTTATCTGAGATTTGCCTGTTTAAACAGGGTGATTAAGAAATGAACTTTGGTTGAGGTTATATTTATATGTAAACTAGGCTGTGTCATTTTTGAGCAACTTTTTTTTTTCAACTAAAAAACAGGCTAAAAACTTTCAAAAAGGTGAAAAAAGAGCCTCTAACATTTAGCGCTCTTAATATTATCATTAAGTGGTGCCTGTTCCTAACTTTCCATTTCACATATAAATAACATGGGAAAAAAATTTGTCGTTTTTCTTATTTTTGTAGCTTGACATATAAGCATTGTAAAAATGAACTGAAAAATTATTTTGCTAGGAAATTGAACGCTCTACAACAAAGTTCTAATTAATTTTTTTTACAGAGTGAGCCGTTCTGAAGATATTCAAACTTAAAGTTGCAAATGTATGAAATTATGATTTTTATTTTATCAAACTGATAGGTTAGGTCGCAGTCGCAGCCCCGCGCCGAGCGCGGAGCACACGTGGGCAGGAAAAGCCCGTTGTGATACCATTGGCCGAAGCCATTTGTTTCTTTCCCTTCCTTAGTAATTGAACCACCGAGTGCGTTTTATATAGCACAAAAAGTCGAGGACGTTCGCCGAGTTCAAATCGGCTAAACAATCTAGAAAGTACTTGTTGAAGAATCGGTTGCGCGTGTTGGCCAGGGCGGGACAATGGCAGAGATAGTGTTCAACGGTCTCCACCTCTTCCTCGTCTCTGCAACTGCGACAAACATCGTTGGTGGGGTATCCTAGCCTTTTTCCGTGTGTGCCCATCAGGCAGTGTCCGGTGATAACCCCAGACTACTAATCTGAGAGAGGAGCGGTCCAGCAGGGTAAGAGCTATGGATCGCTTTACATAAATTTTTGGCCAAATTTGTCTGGTAGTATGGCAGGTGGTTTCCACAGCCCACCTGAAATTTACCTCCTCGACGAGTTCCGTCATTAGTCTGTGTTTGCAGGAGGTTAGAGGTATGCCCGCATTCTGAGCAGAATTGACTTCAGATATTTCCGTCCCTCTCCTTGCCAGCTCGTCGGCTAGGCAGTTGCCAGGAATGTCAAACTGATACTGATGACTTTTTTATGTCTTAAAAATTATTTTTAATCAGAAAACTGGTTTTTGTGCTCTTATATTTTTATAAAGCTAAAATAAAAAAAAATTACGTCTTAGATATTATTTTATTATTTGAATAACTCTTAAACAAAAGTAATTATGAACTAGGTTCAGTAAAATTATTATTTTATAGATTACAAAAAAAACTTTTCAACAACTAGAATACATAAACAATACATAAATAAGACTTAAAAAAAGTCATCAGTATTAGTTTGATAAAATAAAAATCGTAATTTCATACATTTGCAACTTTAAGTTTGTATATCTTCAGAACGGCTCACTCTGTAAAAAAAATTAATTAGAACTTTTTTGTAGAGCGTTCAATTTCCTACCAAAATAATTTTTCAGTTCATTTTTACAATGCTTATATGTCAAGCTACAAAAATAAGAAAAACGAAAAATTTTTTTCCCATGTTATTTATATGTGAAATGGAAAGTTGGGAACAGGCACCACTTAATGATAATATTAAGAGCTCAAATTTTTAGACGCTCTTTTTTTCACCTTTTTGAAAGTTTTTAGCCTGTTTTTTTAGGTGAAAAAAAAAGTTGATAAAAAATGACACAGCCTAATGTAAACGTACTTTTATGCTTTGCCGTGCCCACACATATGTTTGCACATCAAAATTCATGCGTACCTAGTACCTACTCACGCCTTTTTTTTAATTTGTATTCGGTTTTTTATGCTTAAACTGTTTTGTCATGTTGGGACTTTTTTCAAAAAATCTTTTAAGGAATTATTTTTATTCATAAAAAACTAAATTATTTGAGATATTTTCAAATCGGTCTAGCTCACGTAAATCTTAATATTTTTCGGAAATATTTTGGTGGAAGTCTTCAAATATTAAAATTTTTTTTTTATCTCGGCGGAAAACCGCAACTTTGATGGTGATGCAGTCTAGTATATTGTATATGTACTAGGGCTGATGATTTGACCCGGACAGTATAGTAAATTCCCGGGTACCCAAAAAAATGTGGGAAAGTAAAATTTAAGCGCATTCGTGGTTATATACCGCAGACGAACGTACATAGGAAAATCTATAAGAATCTTCCACACCATAAGGTGAAAAATTATATTAAATATATATCCGCATATAAAGGTAGAATCAATCGGGCAGGTTCTGCAATTCACTTCCGAGTGAATCTCAACCCCTGCATATTTGAATTCAAAGCGAACTTGACTCAAATACACTCGGAAGCGAATTGGAGAACCTGATGGAATAACTTTACGATTGTAGAAGTATTATTTGGCACTGCTTTTCTAAGGTCTTTGGCATTTGGAAGTAAAATGGTGAAGGTGAAAGAGAATAATAAGAACGGGCTTGTATATAATTAAAATTCGGGTAAAGCCCAATATAACAAGTAGATACACATGTGTATTATGAGTATCTATTTTCAGAAGCTTTCCATAAAGTGGTTGACTTTGTTTGTACCTTTTGTGTTCCTTAGTAGTTTACGTGAGCTTTTCAAAATGCTCCTTACCTTTATTGTTATTAGAAATGTACGTTGTATTCCAGACCCTGTAAGCCGGACTCTTTACGTGGTTTTTGAAGAAGTTAGAACACATCTACGTCTTTTGGTTTCTAGACGAAAGGATGCATTATGCATTTGAAGCGCTGGTGGGCAACACCCGCCAAAGCCCTTTCAAGCTTGTATAGCTTGCTGAAGAGGCGGGAATGGCAAGATACCTCTTCGCTAAAGACGCAACTACAGGGAGGGAGTGTAGTCTAGAGTTTTTTTTTTACCTACCAGACGATATAAAATTTACAAAAAACTTTTCGAGCCTTATTTACATGCTGAGGCTCAAAATTTAATAATAATATTTAGGGGAGGTCCTAGACTCGATTGCCAGCACGATCAACTTTGAAAGCCTTTTCACTGCGGTCATTAACATAATGCGTAAGCGCCAATCTATTATTATTAATAATACTTGCAAACTTTATGTAAACAGCCAAAAATATACGGTAGGTCAAGCATCCCCCGAACACCCTTCATGTGTAAATGCTAGGAATGCTAATCCCGGTCTCGAAAATCTCGGGATTCTTAGCACATAATCCCGGGATTTTCAATTTTCACTGATGGCAGTAACAGAACTATACTTTTTTATAAATGACTAGCTCATCATACATAACACGGTGCGAAAGTAAATTTTACACACAAAAATCAATCACCCTCATTGCGAGAGTCGTGCCGAATGCAAGTCGTTTTTCGAGAGTCGAATCGTATCGAAAACTTCACGTCATTGCCTGAAATTTCCACTCGACTAGTGTATTAATACGGAAAAACTTGGCAGCACTGCATATTTTTCGACGATTTTCGTCGTTTACTTATTTCTGCACGACAGTAGACAATGCCAATGATGTCGAGTCGTACAATTTAGCATAATTTACGACTCACGCAATGAGGCTGAATATATTCGCGAAACCATGGGCCAAATATAGTAAAATTGTGTTTTTAGTTTTTCACTCTGACGTCAGTAATTAAAAATTATTTAAAAATTCAGTGAAATGTGCTTAGAGAAGGAGTATGGGTATCAAATTAAAGAGGAAATTCTGTAGAATTTAATCAGATTTAATCTTTTGGTCCATAAGGACTGGTAAGTATGGACAATGTCCTTTTAAAAATTTATCCTTGAAACTTTGCAAACTTTGCAACTTTGTTTTTGAAAAAATTATATGTTAAGGACTTATATAAACTCGATAACATCCTCGAATTTCGCCATTCTAACTTTATCAGTTTAAAAAATTACCTATTCGTACTTGTGATTCCAAAAAAATTTAAGTTTTTTTAAAAAAGTTTTTATCAAATTAAAGAGGACATTCTGTAGAATTTAATCAGATTCAGTCTTTTGGTCCATAAGGACTGGTAAGTATTGAAAATGTCCTTTTAAAAATTTATCATTGAAACTTTGCAAACTTTGCAACTTTGTTTTTGAAAAAAAAAGTATGTTAAGGACTTATATAAACTCGATAACATCCTCGAATTTCGTCCTTCTAACTTTATCAGTTTAAAAAATTACTTATTCGTACTTGTGATTCCAAAAAAATTAAAGTTTTTTTTAATTCTAAAGAAATTTCCTCTTTCATTTGGTACCCATATTTTTATTCTACATTGCATTGAATTTTTTAAATAATTTTTGGAATTAATCATATCTTTGAAATTATAAAGTCCTTTAAAATAAATCCTGGCGCAAGAGAGAAAAAATAAAAACGCCACTTTAAGTAAAAAAGTAGGTTTTAAACCCATTTATTTATTATTTATTTTATGGTAGAAGTGATAGAAGCAATTTTTTCGATTTAAGCTGTTGAAAAGTAATGAATATCTAAATCCCGGGATCCCGGGGGTGTGATAACGACATCCCGAAAATCCGGGGATCGTAAGAATCGAATAAAATTAACATCCCTAGTATATGCACATTGTGCTCAAGTTGTTGGACAGAGCGTATGAGTAACCCCCTTAAATTTTGAGTCTCAAATCGGGTACCTGGGTATCATCAGCCCTAGTATGTACGTACGATTTTTCATTTAATAGATTTTGGGTAAAAGTACATTTCTTAATTGGATCATAAGATTTAATAAATTTTTTGATATTATACGAGACACTACTTTTTTAAGAAGCTAAGTGCTAGTTATACGAAACGAGGAAAGAAATATTTTAAGTGGCCCTAAAATTCTGTTTAAATAATAGAAAATACACGTATTGGAATAAAACACATCACTCAGAGCGAGATAATTAGTTGACTGCCCACTGTAAATGCAAAACAAAAATAAATAAACCAATTACAATCTATTCGTGGAAAACACATGTTTTATGTCAACTGCATATTAAATCAAAACAAATAGGTTTAAAATACTTGCCACAGGAGTCAACGTCTAAATGAGCTTAAAATAAAAATATACGTAAAAAAAATCAAGTAGGTTGTTGTTGCTTGCCGTTGCTTGATAAATAAGAGTATCCCCATGGTTATCGCCGATGTAAAATATTTGATAGTGTTCGTATTTGGCTCTGCAATTCTGAATCCATGCGTGCTGCTTCTTGATCAAAAGTCTGACGCATTTCGTTCAAATCTGGCAATTTTGTGATTTTAATATTAAGCATATCATTAAAGAACTTGGACCAAATGTGCTTTTTTAAATATCGTGGTAACTTCTGCTTGATGTCCCATATACCACATCGTTTTTGTAGTTGCATATACTCGCCCAGCAACATTACATGTACTGTGCCAGCAATGCAAAATAGATCAGTTTCGTATGACCACGGGCGATTTTCCTGCATTTCTATACATGTGAATCCATCTGTTTGAATAACTTTACGAAACTTGGTTTCTTCTGGTTGAGAGAATAGCGTCATGTCAATGGCGCAGCCAAAATCAATCAAACGTAGCGAAGGATAATGGTAGTCAGTACTAGGTATGCGCATTAATAAAAAGTTGTCCGGCTTTATGTCCGCGTGAATTATTTTATTCATGTGTAGGTGATTTATAATGTTGCATATTTGCGCGGAAAAATGCATTACCAAAGATTCGTGCATTACTTTTGTGGTAGCTTGTCGAATTTTATTATTTATGTCGAGTAAAGAGCCGTATGGCGAGAATTCAGTAGCGATAATACTAGCATTTGGGGCCATTATTGCAACGGAAATATCCATGAGACCGGGTAGAATATTTGTCGTTTTGACCCTCTTTAAGACCTGTGAATTAAAATTAAAATTGAGTTAGTATCCAGATAATTTGAAACAAGAATAAACTTCACTCACTTGATCGCAAATATATATCTCCCAGGTGTTTGGAGGTTTCTGAAATTTCAACGCCACCACATTACCAGTATTAGCATCTGTAGCTTTGTACACAGAACCATACGAACCGCGCCCTACTTCTTTATCAATATTGAACTGCACACCATCTGGCAAACTTAGCGTACGTGTATTTGCTATCTTTGGCAGTGGTGTTTGTACTATTTTATAGTTGGCACAACTGTCACCCAGTCCTGGGAAGTCTAGTTTTGTGAGAAAAGCTCGACAGAGTTCACTGTTGAATGGATCAATAGCTTCCTTAGCAAAGTGATGCTCAATTATTTCATATGCTTTACGCAGACGACGCTCTTTTGCTTCAAGATCGTGCTGAGTAGCAAAATATGAGTTTTCTTGATAAGTGGAAATTTCTGCAACAGTGCTTGTGTTATATGCTGAAGTGGAATCACGGAAATTGAGCCGGCCAACAGCAGAAGTCAATGAACAGTGAGAACTGTCTAAAGCAACAGCACTTGAAAATGAAAAATTTGCATTATCATTGAACGTAGCATTATTCAAAACTTCGTCTTCGTTTTCGAGAGATTTTATGTGCTCATTAGTAGTTGCACAGTTGTTCCCATTAGTGGTTACAACATTTTCAGCTGATGATGAATTGCTACTACTGCCAGTTCCAATTGGAAGCCTGTTGATTCTCTTTAACTTCGCTTTGTAACGCTTAGAGCTAGATTTCGGAGTTGAAGTGCTATCCATGCTATAAGGATGAAAGCTGTGACCATTTTTAGCCCTTCCAAATTCAGGTGACGACGGAGAGGCAGCTAAAACCTAAAAAAAAAAAATGAAAACATTAGCATATATGTAAGTAAATATGAGGGCGTACTACAACTCGGTATGACATAGATTGATTCATGGACCGTTGCAATAGTTTTTCTAATAGCGGAATTTGTGTAATAATTTAAACACGCATTCGCGATTGAACCTCGGGTGTGATTGGGCGTGTTCTGTGCAATATTGTTTCTTGTGCTTTTTTCTTGGCGCTTTTGCACGTGTGTGTGCAGTATAACATAAAAAATTATTTTTATTGCTAGTGTGTAATACAGCTACACTTAGGGCCGTTTTATTGTATAACCTTTAGATTACCGGCCACTTTATCGTCTCGATATACGAGTTTTCGTTTTCTCATCAGCGCGTTAATTTCTCGCATCGATAAATTGTTGCTTACCCGATGCAACCTTTAAAAATTTGTACCCCACTTTAAATTTTGGTTTGGTTTTGGTTCATGATTCAGATATATTAGATATATCAACCAAGGTTTTGGTTTTTGCTAACAGTTGCTCTTGCTCTATATTTCCTTATGTTGCATGCAGTGTTGCCACTTCGGCATTTTTCAGGCTAAATTTAGCTTTTTTTGAATGCATTTAGCCTCAAAATAAGTGATTTAGCTTTTAGCTTTTTCTAACTTTTTCTTAATTTCATTTGGCCTTTTCTAGTCTTTTTTCTTTTTTCTTACTGAAGTTCTTTATTGAATCGATATTTAGAAAATAATATTTATATCATAAAAAATGTGTTATGGTAACTCTAAAAATAGTAATAGATAAATAGATATCACAGAAAAATTTGTTTATGGTAACTCTGAAAATAGTAAGCACAAAAAAGTTATCGACTATCGTAAAGCGCAAACCGGTTTGCGTATCACTATTAGTTGGTATTTTTCAATTGAGTGGCGTCGGAAAAGAGCTGTGCTTTGTGCTACGAATTTTTTAATTTTAACCTCAACCAATGGATAGGTAAATTTCAGTAAATCTCAAATTGTATTGTCTCCTTTAATGATTATATATGTATGAGCTTATAAACAAAAATGCAGCTTTATTTTCATACATTCATACATATATTATATGTAGGTATGTACATGATACAAGTATTTAAAGATAAAACCGTTCGCTGAATTTATATTTTCTGTTTATATTTTGAAGTTTGTCTACTTTATAAAATTGAAATTTTCAGAGCAACTACAACGCTAAAAGTAAATCCTTTAAATTTTTGTATCATGGTTATGTACATATAAAGATTTATGCCAAATTGTTATGTTTTTCTTTTTGGTTGTTTGTGTTTCCGACAGGGTAGGAGTATGATGTATTGTGAAACGATTTTCCGCCATCCCTTGTCAAATTTGGTTTGGAGACAAGCCGGTTTCGGCGTTGTGCCATCTTCAGTGTCATTTTTCGAACGAACCGGTTTGTCTCCAAACCAAATTTGACAAGGGATGACGGAAAATCGGTCCACAATACATCATTTTTTTTCTTATTTTTAATAAAACGCCTCCAAATATGCTATACAAAAATAATCACAATTTTATACGCTTAAATACATTTATTTCAATTGTAATTTTTATCCAATTTTACCCCAAACAAATTAAACGGGCGCAAATACAAGTACTGAGAATCAAAACAAAGTGAAATAGTAATAGCTGACACGCAGAGTAATCGTTTCAAAGTTTCTAGTCAAGCCTAATACGGCTTTCCCACGGCACCCCAATTACGTAGTTCGCTCTCTCATTCGTAATTCGCACTCCAATTACCTTTCGAATTACGCCATGTAAAATTTTGGGAGCGAATTACCTAATTTGTTGGTAATGCAGATCCAATTACCATGCGAATTACGAACAAATCGGGCCGTCTCTAATTTTTATCGGAAATTTATCGAAACTAGCTCACACACCAAAACTTGCATTTTTTCTAGTACGAAAAGTAAATTTTATCAATGTGTATAACCCTAATTTAATACGGAAACTTATAAATCTTTAGGAAGAACCTACATTTTGCATAAATTTTGCAACGAAGAAAAACAAAAATAAAACACAGAGACAGAGAACTGTCAAATCGAATTAAGAATGTACCCATGGGAATGGGGTAATTCGCGATCGTAATTCGGGCAGCGAACAAAGTAATTCAGGATGCCTTGGGAAAATGGTGTTAATCTTTTGGAATTTTTTTTGTTGGGGGTGTCAGTAATTTTTTTCATACAAAGTGAGTTCAACGATTTATTTATATAGAAAAAGAAAAATAACGAAACCTTCAACAAAAAAAGAGCCAAAAATCATCCGTAGCTAGATAACCAGAATGTAGTACCACAGCCACAACTATTTCGCAAGCTACATACACCACAACCACAGCTACATATTGCGGGCAGTTTAGAGCACTTAGAATATTTTAACTTTTGACAGCTCTTGCTACATACCACAGCCTCACCATTCTGGTTAGTCAGTTAGTCCTAGAGCCAAGGTACATTCAAAACAGATAGAATCCGATTTGACGTCAAACTTCCAAACGTCAAAGTTTTCGGGACAGTAAAAATTACAATGAGCGTGTGGAATGAAAAATAAAAAATTACATTTCCCTGGCTAACGTTCTTAAGTAAATTTTTATTTATTAATTTACTTTATTTTATTTAGTACTTTAATACTCGATACCTTATTTGGATCGAAAACTTTTTAAAAAACACACTTTTTAAATTTTTTCTTCCATTGGCAACCCAATTTTCTTTGCTTAATTGGATTACTATCATTCAATTTTGTCCATCACTTAAAATAAACTGAAATTTCGTGTAGTCTGTTGCATAAACCAAATAAATTAAAGTTGAATGGCCTTATTCATAAAAAATAAAGTAGGTTTAAAGAGCTTAATAAAATGACATTTTCATAATTTTTCAGTTTATAAACATTTTTAAGGCCATAAAACTTTACGCAAAGTTCACGAAAATGCAGAATTTTTAGAAACCTTTTGGGTATGCAGTTTTATAACCTTTTCAACTTTACGTGTAGCCTCTTACCGTTGACTTTTAACTCAAACTTGCACATTATTATACTAAAATTGAATAGGCTACAAAAATGCATACCCAAAAAGTTTAAAAAAAATCTTAATAAAATTTTAAATTCGTGAACGTATATGTATATGTATGTATATATGTATGTATTACATTTAACGTTAAAATTACTTCTTACGTGAAAGTAAGTTCTGCATTGAAATAAAAATCAAATATTTTAAACTTGTATTGTTTTAATTTCAGGAAATAACTAGATATACGATTGAAGAATAAAATAATTTTAGTATCTCAAAATATTAATATTAAATACGTATTTAATGAGTTCGATACTGAGTAGTATCGATACTTTTTCCCTGATACTTTTAGAGTACCGATGCCATGAGCTCGATGCCAGAATGAGTACTCAGTATCGATACCAAAGTCAGAAATTTCGAACCCTACACATACATATCGCACACCGTCTTCAAAAGAGTCACAACTCAAAATTTGGCATTTTTGAGATTATGCGCTCAAAATGTACGCAGAGCTTTTAGTTACCTTTCAGCAAAATCTGGAGCAAATTTTGTTATAATTTGTTAAAAAAAAACCTAAGGTAAAGTAGCCCTTGCCCATATGATTATCATGTGCTAAGAAATAGTTTTTCGAATTTTCTGACAAACATATTATTTTGAGTTGTGACTCTTTTGAAGACGGTGTGCGATATGTTCGAGATAATAGGCCCATTCCTTATCTTTTCTGACTAAAATCTGAATAGTGTCAAAATGCAAGAGCGAAAGGAAAATGCCCTAACTAAAAGAGAGTAACAGGAAAAAGTAAAGGAACGCAAAAACCAAATTTTTAGTCAAAAGAATGGCAACAACAAAACTAATGTCATTGAGTTTGACACCTTTCAAGATTTCGCCAGCAAAAATTCTTCTGACTAAATCTTGTAACTTGGGACTGAAGAGAGTCACAGTTGTTTTCTCATTTCTGCTGTCATTTTTAAGTTAACGCGTTTTGGACTGAATCTGACTACTTCGGACTAAGTATTTCTGACTATTTCTGGTTGATAAGGAACGCAACTAATATTAATTATTACACATTAGAAAAAGCCGAACAATTACATGTACATAAAGGTAAACTGCGCAGCACTGCAAAAATTAAAATTTGCTTTAACGAATATTCAAAACAAAACTACACGACATTCCGAGAGTAACGAAATAAACACAAAACAAGTTGAACTTTGAAAGTTTGGTCCTCATGAGAGCAATGTCAAAATGGCTTCTACTTGCATTTATGTTCCTTGAGTCCTAGTTACTTCAAACTTGCACTTACTATACTAGTATTGAATGAGCTACAAGGTTGTGTTTAGTTTATTTTTTATATATAATTGTTTATTAGAAAAATAGCGGAAACAAATTTTTTTCATTAAAAGTTATTATTTTTGTGAAACGGTAGTGCAACGGGTACTCAAGAACCGCAAAATGTGACTATTGGCAAAAATGGAGTCAGTACTGAGACTTTAAGAAATGATCACGATAAATCTCCCCTATGTCAACGTACCTGCCTAATTTTTCAGGCATCTACTAGAGCTGTCAAACTATCCATAGTTGGGCCACTCGATAATTTGCGATAGTTTAGCTGCACTATCGATACTATCGCAACTTTTTTTTATTATATATTAAGCATATTTTCTTTTATTTCTATAAGTGTACAGTAAAAATACCTAAACAATTTTACAAAGAACACAATCGGCCCTGGTATGGCTGTCGGGTCGATGTCGATGTAATTTTTTCTTCAAAAATAGCCGTCGTAAGTCCAGCTATAGCTACGCTTACCACAGAATTTTTGCGAGAAACACATTCCCTCAAAAATACTGTGCTCAGCGTAGCTGGAGTTGGACCTACGAGGGCTATTTTTTGTTGAAAAAATTACATCGACGTCGACAACCATAATTGGGCCGAATATTATTTTCAAAAACTCGAAACAAATTTTTATTATTTCACCAAGAAACTTAGTTTTAA